ATCTCCCCGCAGCCCCTCCAACATTTGTTATTTCCAGTATTTTTGATTCGTGCCAGTAATGCCGGGAACTTTTTCTATTCTTATAGCCACTTTGTGTCAGCCGTTTTCAGTTAGAAGCTTTCTGTGGTGTTAGTTTTCCAGCTTTCCCCCTTTTCCCTTGTATCTTACCAGGAGGGCGCCTTTGCTGTACTGATACTTGAACTCCCACTTGTCTGTTTCCAAAGTTTCTTTCTTTTTTTAACATAGTGTTTAAAGGAGGCCGCCATATTGCTTTTTTGCCTAGCCTGCTGAAAGCAATATGATCCATGCCATGTTTTCCTTGTGCCGCTGGAGCCACTGAAAAGCTATCCATTTTTTGCAAGGGTCCAGGAGACAGCGAATAGGGCAGTTTTGTTGGCTTCCCCCTTTTCCTCGCCGTCCCTGGGGTCAAAGAGAGAAATTGATAGCAGATATCTTGCTTGGATTGTGGGGTGTTCTTACACAAACCAAAACCCACTGCCTTCGAGTTGATTCCTACTCATAGCGACCGCATAGGGTTTCCAGGCTGTAAATCTCTACAGAAGCCGACTGTCACATCTTTCTGTCACAGAGAGGCTGGTAGTTTCCAACCACTGACCTTTCGTTTAGCAGTCAATCACTTTAATCACGCTCCACCAGGGCTCGTTTTTCTTACACAGGAAACCAAATATTCACTTTAAAGGCATCCATGACCAAAATTAATCTGACAGTGGCTCTTCTTTCACCCAAAACTTGCAAATCCTTTCTTTCCTTTTCCAAACGAGGCTTACTAATTTTGAATATCAAAAGATATGGCTGGGTGGAGGGGCAGAGAGACTACCTGGTGAAATGATATCCGTCGATGTCAGTAAAAGGCGGAGGGCAGGGTTCAATCAATCATGTTCAGATTAGCTAAAGGTTGACATTCTATATTTATCCCTCCTCCTCTCTTTATAACCTTCCTTGTACCTAGCTTCTTGGAGTCACTTACTATTTCTAGAATCAAAATGGTCTCCCTATATACACATAGAATAACTGCTAGAAGAAACTTGATGTTCAAATTTCCTTGAGTATTGATCATTTTTAACACTGGCTACTGTCACAAAAACAGCCCCCTTTTTTTCTGTACGTCATGTATTCAAATATGGCCGCCTCCAGACAGCAGCGACAAGAAGGGCGCAGACATAACACCTCGTATGGCAACGTGGGAAATGCGGTAGTCCGCGCTGTTTCAAAAGTTCCAGACCGTCGCTGGCCTCTGTAGGCGCACAAGGATTCCACGCGAGGGGTGGAGAAATAGAAGGCATTCACCGAAGTAAGTGCAACTTTTCGGAACATCGGGTGATTCCAGAGAAAAACAGGTCAGAGTGTGTTTTTCTTCTTGAAACAGGGCGAGGTAGGAGTGTGGACGTGGTGTCCTGAGGACATGGAATTCCTGTGGGGAGCGCCGGGGTGGAAGTGCTTAAAGGGAAGCAGGTGGGAGTCCGATGCTTTTGGGGTCAGAATTGGGAGGGCTCGTTTGAACAATGATTAAGGTTGTCCCGACTGTCAGGGTGCAGGTCTTTGCGGATCACTCTGCTTGTATGGGGTGGATGTGATATTTTCAATGAATGCAGTGTCTGATTCGGGTTCGGGGTTTAATATGGACAGCAGTGAAGTTGGTCGCTATGAGTCGGAATCCACTCGACGGCAATGGGTTTGGTTTTTTTTTTTTTTTTTGGTTCAGAGAAGTTGGAGCCGGGGGATGGACATCGTAAGGGGTGTCTGGTCTAGGTTTCGCCTTAATAACGGCGTAAGGGTGGTCCATGTCTGTGGTACAGAGGCTTGTGAGGACGAAACTTTGGGAGCCCAGGACCCCAGGAACCTCGGCTGCTGGAACAGAAGGTGGTATATTCCCTGGCCAGTAGTTCGAAAGCCTTGTTTAGATAATCATATATTTTCTCCTCTTATCCCGCGGTTGGCTAACTACTGTCTGACAGACTCATCCACCACGCTGCCCATAGGTCTAGGGCTGCTTTCACGCTGCATAAGCAGAATTTAGTCCTGGTTGCGCAGTGGTTAAGAGCTCAGCTGCTAACCAAAAGGTCAGTAGTTCGAATCCACCAGCAGCTCCTTGGGAACCCTGTGGGGCAGTTCTGCTCTGTCCTATAGGGTTGACAGCAACATCACACAAAGGTTCACAATACAAGCACACTTTCTGCTGTGCTGGCGGAATAGCTAGTTTATTTATCCTCTGGCAAGGTGAGCCATAGCCCAGTTTATTAGTCATTGTGTATCCTGTTCCCACTGGTAGTGTTAGTGTTAGTGTTAGTGCAGATGAGTTTAGGTATGTTGAGTTTAGTGCAGATGAGGTTAGGTGTGCTATTCTACCCACGTATATATGTAAAAGTGCTTGACCACTAGAAAATGTCGATTTTATCTAGGTCATCTCTCCCATTAATTCCTCACGTTCCTTGTGTGTGCCACTTCTCTTTCTCTTTTAATACACCTGTTATGGATTAAATTGTGTCCCCCAATAATATGTGTTGTAAATACTAACCTCTGTGCCTGTGTGTTTTAGTCATCTAGTGCTGCTTATAACAGAACTACCACAAGTGGATGGCTTTAACGAAGAGAAATTTATTTCTTCACTGTAAAGTAGGCGGAAAGTCCAAAGTCAGGGCATCAGCTCCAGGGGAAGGCCTTCTCTCTCTGTCGCCTTCTCATCAGTCTTCCTTCAGACTAGGAGCTTCTCTGCACAGAGAACCTGGGTCCAAAGGACATGCTCCGCTCTTGGCACTGCTTTCTTGGTGGTATGAGGTGTACGGCGCCCCACTGCCCCCCTACTCCCCCTGCCCCCTTCTCTCTGCTTCTTCTCTCTTTTATATCTCAAGAGCTTGCCTCAGGACACTATCCAATCTTGTAGATTGAGTCCTGCTTTTCTAACACAACTGCCGCCCATCTGCCCTCATTAACATCATAGAGGCAGGATTTACAACTTATAGGAAAATCTCACAATACCGGGAACCATGGCCCAGCCAAATTGATATACATATTTTTGGGGGAACATAATTCAATCCCTGACACTGTGGTTATAATCCCATTTGTGAAAGGATTATCTTTGTTATATTAATGAGGCAGGATTAGTATAGGGTGTATCTTGAGTCAATCTCTTTTGAGATATAAAAGGGATTAAACAAGCAAGCAAGTAGCAGAGACGAGGGAAGAGAGATGCCCGTCCACATAAAGTTTACCCCAGAGCAAATGCTCAAAAGAGACAAGAACCTTCCCCCAGAGCTGACAGAGAGACAAAACCTTTCCTGGAGCTGGCATCCTGAATTCAGATTTCTAGCTTCCTAAACTGTGAGAAAATAAATTTCTGTTTGTTAAAGCAACCCACTTGTGGTATTTCTATTATAGCAGCACTAGATAACTAAGATAGAATTTGGTACCGGAACAGTGGGGTGCTGCTGTAATAAATTCCTACAATGTGGAAGTGGTTTTGGAACTGGTTAATGGGTGGAGGCTGGAAGAGTTTTAAGGTGCCTAATACTAAAATCCTAGATGGCATTGAAGAAACTGTTGGTAGAATTATGTATGTCAAAGGCATATATAATGAGTGCCAAGAATGAAGTGAGGAGAGCCATAGAGAAAGTCTCTGTTGTCTTAGAGAATACATATGGCTCCAGCAACAGAATGTTGCTAGAAATATGGATGTTAGATGTGTGTCTGGTGAGGATTTAAAAGAAAATGATGAACATGAGATTGGACAATGGAGGAAGGGTGCTGTGGTGCAGTGAATTACTTAATATGACCTGCAGCCTGGTGGATTGCTTTTATATGGTCTTTCTTGCCATGTTCTTGTAACACCCACCCAAGTGGGGACACCGAGCCCGTAAATTCTGTTGAATGAATCCCGCCAACAGAATCATGCCCATCATTCCCATCGGAAGAGATTACTCCATGTTTGTCTGCTAAGCCACCATCACCAGCAAGATCCTTAGCCCCTCCACCCCTATCTGATGAGATTAATCTAGCTGTATCTGAAGAACCTTTGTCTGAGTCTTTGCCCGGGATATTACGTGAGGCAGATGCCTTACAAGACAATGCTGAAAGTTCTCAAAACACATCCCTGACACTCATTTTCACTTCTAGACCTATAACTAGACTTAAGTCCCGGTGAACCCCAAAAAGTGAAGTACAAAGTATGACTCAGGAGGAGGTACACTACACCCCAAAAGAATTGCTTGATTTTTCTAATATGTACAAACAGAAACCTGGGGAATATGTGTGGGAGTGGCTATTAAGGGTGTGGGACAATGGTACAAGGAACATAAAGATGGATCAGTCTGAGTTTATTGATATGGTCCACTAGGCATAGATTCTTCATTCAATGTTTCAGCTTGAGAGGTTAGGAAAGGATCTAATAGTTTATTCGGTTTGGTTGCTGAAGCATGGATTATGTGGAGGGCTATACTAAATGAAGTTGAAGTACCAGACTGGTGTTGGTATACTGTAGAAAGCCTTAGGTATCCAAAGGCTTAGAGAAATTGGCATGTTAGAGTGAATTTTGTCAGGTTAGACCCACAGACCCACACAGGGAGTGTCCGGAGACATACCTTTGACCATAACAGTGAGGAACAAATTTGTGAAGGGAGCCGCAACATCCTTGAAGACTGCTGTGATTGCTGTTTTATGTAAGTCACATTTGACAGTGGGAACTGCCCTAACTGAATTAAGACACCTAATAACAGTGGGGTTGATTGGACCCTGTGATAGTAGGGACCAAGTGGTGGCACTCAATCGACAAAGACAAGGTGGACGTGGTTACTGTAATGGAGAGCAGAGTCAAAGTAGTAATCAGAATAGTCTGACTTTATGGATTTATGGCATTGGCTACTTAGTCATGGTGTCCCTAGGAGTGAAATAGATAGAAAATCTGCTAAATATTTACCTGATCTCTGTAAAAATGGCAGTTTCTCCAGCTGCTGTTTCTATGCCATCACTTCTCACTGTCTTTAGTGTTATTTGTTTCTCTCTGTCTCCTGATTCTAGGAGCTTCTCAGTGCAGGGATCCCAGGTCCACTCTTGGCTCTTCTTTCTTAGTGGTGGTGAGATCCTTTTCTTCCCGCCCCTGGGATGGCTCATTTTAAGCTAGCTGGATGGCAAAACTGACCAATCCCTTTGGTCTGCCATAATTACCTTATTTGCACAATCCCATCCAATCAGTTGGGTGGGAGTTGCAAGACTATGGCAACAAAGGCTACACAAAAGGCATCCATTGCACCTCACTGAGTAACCTCACCCTGAGGACTCTGCCCTATTAAAGAACTAATTCTTCTCTTTTTTTTCTTTTTTAAAATTTTTTTATTGTGCTTTAAGTGAAAATTTATAGTTCAAGTTAGTTTCTCATACAAAAATTTATACACATATTGTTATGTGAACCTAGTTGCTCCCCCTATAATGTGACAGCACACTGCTCCTTTCCACCTCCGATTTCCTGTGTCCATTCAACCAGCTCCTATCCCTTTTTGCTGAAGGATTAATTCTTAATGACTGTTTTTGACTGGTAAAATGATTTGCGAGGGGAAGGTAATCTTTCAAGATTCAAAGAGCCAATGGCTGGAAGAGCCAGGGGGTGGCCTCTGATACAGTGAATTACTTTATATGATCATTCTAGCCATAATTTTTGTATCTCCCACCAACTGACTACATGAGACTATGCAAATGATGTGTATGTAACCCTAATGAGGGGATTGCTCAGCTTTGTAGTCCCACTAGGTTTAAAGGGAGACACTGAGGAAGGGAGTGCAGGAGCTGTAACACCAAAGAGAGAGAGGGAGAGCTGTAACACCAGAGACAGTGAGAAGCAGCGGCAGTGAAATGGCAGCAGCAGAACCAGCAGAAAGGCAGGAGACCAACAGGAGATGGTGTGGTGGTCTTCCCGGCCCACAGAGCGAGAAACCTGAGTGTCTTCGGAAAGGAGGCTTGCTGGTGGAGTGAGGTACACCCAGGTACTTGGTGGAGTAAGATTTCCCAAGCCATGGAGCTAGAGCTGAGCGCCTGTGGGCCAAGGTTTACTGGTAGAGTTGGGTGCCTCAGGGCATGTGTTCACACAGCTAAAAGAGCTTTTTAACACTTACCTGAGCAGGGCAGAGGCCAGGTCAAGGGGCTGAGGGGTCAAGGTGCAGGGAGAGACCTGCCTGTGGGCACAGCTGAGAAGAGACTGTCCTGATCGAAGAACTATATTCTGAGCTTTCCTGAACCTGAATCACAACCTG